GCTGTGCTAGACAGAACAAAGGGTTTTTCTTTGGCCCAGAGTACAGGTAAATAAACGTCTGACATTCACAATATCCAGCCACAAGGAGGCCCACTGCTCAATTAGGCCTTTCATGAAGAAGTCTCCTCTGTCCTGTTTCAAACTTCTGCCCTGCTGATGTTCTTTGATGCCCCCAGTTTTTAGTATTAACAAGGGATTGCCTGTTCACTGTCACTTCTCTTTTCTTTATGCTCTTTGTGCTTTCAGAAACCTCCTTCCTGTGCCTCTTTGAATTGTTTGCTTTCTGTGCAGCAAGAAATTACAAACTTTCTTGATCATTTCTTCTCCTGCAGCCATTCTAATACCGCCAGTCACCTTTTTTGCCTTCTTCACAGTTCCTTCTGTTCCAGTACATCATTTTTGATCTTTGGTGGAGATGGAGTAATTATGATTGCACAGACGCAAACCATCTCAGGAATGATCAGAGGATCAGAACGTAGCAATGTTCCCTCCTGATAACAACAGTTTGCCTCCTGATAACAACAGCTTTACTTTCTTGACTTCAGTTGAGATGAAGTTTTCATGGAATACTCATAAGCCTAACAATTTACTCTTGAGAGGTAACTTTGTTCCCTCTGTCAATACATTTATAACAAATAACAGGAATGAATTTTATTCACCATTTGATTTTCCATTCATTTACACTTAGAAGTTCCCTTTGTACTTCTTTGCAAACTTCCCCTGTCACTATTGCAACAGCAATGGCAACTACAAAACTGGTATAATCCACAAACGTAACTGCACTCCCTGGAATAAGCGGACAACGTGTTGGTGTCCTTTCTTTAGTGCAGGGACTGACCGTTTATTCTTCATTGTTTTATCTCTCTTTTAATCAACTGTTCATATGTAAACCTTACTTCTTGTGACATGACTTCCTGTACTACTATAGCTTTTTCCTACAGGAAAAGCTATTTCCTGTCTAGTTTTCAATGGATGGCAGCACAGCCTTCTGGTTTATCTGCCACTCCTCTCAGTTTTGTGGCATCAGCAAACTTAACGACTGTGCACTCTCTTCCTCCATCCAAGCAGTTGATGAATATATTTAATTGTACTTATCCCAGTACTGACGCTTGAGGGACTCAACCAGACACAGGCTGCCAACTGGACTCTGTCTCATTGACCACAGCTCTCTGGCTTTTTTCCTTCCAACAATTCACAGTCTACCTCACTACCCAATCGTCCAGACCACACTTCCTCAGTTCATCTGTGAGGATGCTCTGGGATGCTGCCAGATGCTTTACTAGAATCAAGATAGACCACACCCACTGCTTTGCCATCATCTATCCACCTGATTATGTCTGCTTAAAATGCTATCAGGTTGGCCAAGCATGATTTCCCTTTTGTTAAGCCATGTTGACTGTCCCTAATGGCCCGCTTGTCCTTGATATGCCTAAAGACAGTGCCAAGGAGAAGTTGTTCCATCATCTTTCCAGGGATGGAGGTGAGGCTGTCTGGTCTATAATTATCCAGGTCCTCCACACTTTTATAAGCATAACAACTGATTCACTACTCCACTTCTTTGCTTTTCCCTCCTTTAATCAAGATATCTTTTAAGAAAACAGAAATTTATAAATATTGTTTTTAATATACACTTATTAAGTAGTAAGGGAATACATTCTTGTAACTGAAGCTTATACCATGTCATATCTTGCAGTGGGTTCAGATGAAGGTTGTTGAGGCAAAGAACTGTGGCATTTTCTAGTCCTTTAGAGCTTCATTCCATATAACTTGAATCTTTCTGCCTCCCCTACCGCTCTGTCACAGTACTATAAAAAACACTGGGAAAAAAAGGTAAAATCTTTCACGTGATCTAGGCTAGCAAAGATATCAAAGAGGAGTCAGGGACTTGAAGAAGAAAGGGATCTCCTTCCACTTCTTATATTGGAAGATGAAGGGTTGAGACCAGGTCTGCTTGTCACATGGATGTCTTCGAGGGGAATCAGATGAGTGAGGAGGGACCTGCATGCACCACTCATAAAAATCTGCACCACAGATGCAGAGGTGAGCCGTGATCATTGTCGCCATTGTTGAAAAGCACCACTCACCTCACTGTGCTCACATCCACTGTTTGGTCTCCATAAATGTTCAGCAAACATCAGGGAATGTCAATGGGTGCAGTTTTTCCCACAAATGGCTCATCCAGAAAAAATTATCTTCAGGACTTTTGCTGTCTGTTTACATGTTCAGCTGAGCTGAAGAACTTTCTCCTACACACACGCACACAGGGCATAGTAAGTAAAAAACCTTCACAAGTATCTCCCTATTCTGTGTTTGATCCTATGTGTTGGAGAATTTACTTCTTCATAAGATGACAATTTTGAATTTCTCTCTTGTAACTTGCCAGAAGTAAATCTGAAAACCAGCTATTTTATCATGAAATACATTTTGAATTCACTGTTTTTGAATTAAAAGCCAATTAAAATCCATGTTTTTTACAGTGCTCTGATTAGTCTTTCTGAAATCACTGCAAAAAACATTTTATTCTGTTAATTGAATGTATATTTATTGCCATACAAGCATTAAAACAGCACTAAAAGATCTTGAATGCTGGAAAGTCATGGAACTTACTTTGGTCAAATTTTTCTAAGTGATCTGTCATGATTTCCTCTACCACTAAATAAAGTATTAAATATTTAGTAAAATATTTTTGACATCTCTGAATCACATGGTAACAAATCCTTTCTTCAAACTATGCTGTGTCTCCAGCTAATCCTGCTTTCCTGTGGAGAACCAGTGCCACAGTTCATGGATTCAGGCTTTTATTTTTTTTTTTTAAGTAAATCCATTATAGAATATTTTGTGAATAACAAAATAAAATTCCTAGGTATATTTTATGCAAAATTTACAGGAAGATATATTCAGGAAGGAATATATTTATTAATTTCTATTATTCTGATTTTACTTTTGCAGGTTTTTTGTTTGTATTAAATTAGCTTTACTTTCAAATATATGAGCAGCATTACTAAATTACTAAAAACTGTGCAAGGTTAAATAGATAGAACTTACATACTTTAAGTATTTTTCCTCTTTTTTTAACTTACGTTCACATGTGGCATACGATGATATCCATGTTTCTGTATTTTGTGCAGTTTTGTAAATGATGAAAACAGAAATATGTACCTGGTTCGTGTCTAACAGGAAAAAGGCACAAATAGCTTGCATCTTGCATCATTTGTAAGTACAGTTTTACTGTATTTCAACATTTGAACAGGCAGTTATTTACATAAACACACATTTTAAATCTGCTTACCTAGTTTATTCTAACGCTCCGAAAGTTCCAAGATAAACTGCTGTATCAGTGCAATATGATGTAAAACATGAAATACCTGTAGCAGTTTTAAAATATGAAAACACTATTGCTTGTCTGCTGGGGAAGAGAGTTTGAAATTTATTTATTTATTCATTTATTTTTAAAGAAGCAGAATATAAACTTTTTGCTGCATTACATTTGTTATTATCATCTCACTGGTGCTGTAAGTTCCCAGTGCATTTCTCGGTTGAAGTTTAATCTTTCATACTGGCCATTTCAAACAGCAAGGTGAGGCATAGCATGGAGCTCAGGTCAATAATCTGGATATGAACATAGCTCAAGACAGTGACAGTTTCACCAGCCAGGCTTATTATCTCAGTTAGTTTGTACAGGTAGCATTAGAGAGATGGAAAATGTGGAAGATGCAGAGATTGCAGAGGGTGGAAGGTAAAGATAGTGGCTTAGGGAACAGAAGGGATGGTGGATGTGAGTTGGGATTGCAAGCATTTGCAAACTTTCTAATTTTATTGTATTCAAGAATTTTTCTAAGTGACAGAGGAAAAATGTAGTTATTTACAGGATTTTTTTGCACAGTTTTCAAGATATCCCAGTAGATTTTGAAATCACACAGACAAAAAAGAGGAGGGAATAAAATACACAGCACAAAACATCAAGTGTAAGGCATTTATGCATATGCATATATGTAAAGTCTATTCTATAATGTTTGAAGTAATTCCAAGCTATGCTCATACCCTTTTTCGCTGGTTGCCCCAAAAAGGCAGCATAAATGACTGTATGTCAAACAACTGCCAGGTTGAAAGTAAGAACCTTCATCTCTGCTATTATTAACAGGTAATAGACTTCAAATATTTTCCCTTTGTGTATCATAATGAAACCATGATTTCTCATATAATAGGAAAGAAAAGACCATGTGTTGCTCAAAACAACAGCAACAGCATGCTTGCCTAGAAATTGAGAATGTTTTCAATTTGTGCTCTGTCTTATTCACCTTATCTTGTACTTAAGCCTAAGTCTCTCACAACAGGCAAGTGTTCTGGTCACAAAAATTCTGGGCTTTTCTAACATCTCTCTTCTTTTTGCCTGGAATCACTCTATTTAACTATTTCTTGCTGAACAGGACAGGCAAAAAAGAGGGTTATTTTGTAGCTCAGTGACTGTAGCACCACAGTTTTTCCTTACAGCTATAGTTTTGAGGAGGAGTACAGTGCTGAGACATCTTCTCTCTTGAAATCAGCATGTAAAGGAAACACTTTGTTTTTATTCATCTTAGTGTAGCATATTTCATGAAAGGAAGTGGAATAAAGATCGCTTTGTATAAGTTGGAACCCCGAACGCATTTTGCATGGCATGGGAAAGATACAGAAGTTTTCTTATATATATACCTTGTTCTGATCTTAACATTATGGCTCGTTTATGCTTAGTTGCTAGTTTTGTTATAAATATGAACATTTAAATGAATTAATGCTCTCAAAAAAAAGGTCTCTTAGAAGCTATGTGCTGCAGACTCGGAGTAAGAGCTCCAAAATAGAAAGCAGAGGATCAGCATGTGATTCTTCATTCTACATTCCCAACAAGGCTTCCCTCAGTAGCAAACAGCAGCTGTAGTTAAAAATAGAAAGTGATAAGCAACTAGGATCTTTAATTAAACCCAGAACTCACCCTCCGTAACAGCAAGAAGTTCAAAGAAACAATGAAGTCTCTCCAGTTCCTTAGTGCTGAGGCGTTTGTGTCAGATGCTGAGTTTGCAAGGAAGAATCTTGGCAGTGTTGCCCATAATCTTTTTCCTCTTCTTTTTAAAGCCAGCTATTTACTGGAGCAAACGGAAGTGATTCATGACTTGGTTGAGACCTGGCCACTTGCTGACTTTAATATAGGAAAACTTCTGGGAACTACTGTGGACTACCAGGAAGATCTGAGCCATAGAAGATGCTCAGTGTGCTTGGAGAGCTGTCTAACAGGGCTGAGAGACTATGTATTGAATCATCCTTCTCCCTGTGTGAAAAGGTTGAAAGTGGTGGACCTGACAGGTATAAAGGATGTCGAAGTTCAGCTTTGTGAATGTAAGAAGACAATGGGGAGGTGGGCCAGGACTAAGCTGCTCTCAAAGCTTTGTCTAGAAGTGCTGGTCCACCTGCAACAAACGCAATGCAAGCCACGTGCCTTTGAAATCAGTATTGATGTGCTAATAGACTTGTTTGTCACAGAACGCAACTATGAGCTGGTAGTGCAGGCCCTGCTGCAGAAACGTTATTGTCCACTGAAGATCTGCTGTGTGGCATTTAGAGCTGACAACCTGGCTTTGCAGAAATTCTTCTACATCATAAAGCTCACTGATCCTTCTTCGTTGCGCAAACTGGAAGTAGTTCACAATGTTCGCTTGGAAATGGAACACTTGGAAATACTCTTCAACAGTATTCACTTCCCTCTACTGATGTCTTTGACCTTGCCAGCTCGCACATTTAATGTGCGGAGGCTCACAGCTACAGATGAACTGATGCTTACCACCATCGGAAAAAAGATGGGTGAAATGACGCAACTGACTGAGCTCAGTCTGGCATTTTCTATACTCACAGGAAGAATACGGAAGCTGCTCAGGTAACTTGCTTATCTTACTGTCAGTCAAAATGTAAAGAACAGCAACGAGTGCCATCAGTAATTTGAGAGCATTATAGAATATGTGAAGTGAGAATATCTCATCTCAGGTGCGTGAGTATGAGAAGCAGAAAACTAGGAAAGAGTATTTTTGGGGGAGAAGTCAATATATTGTCAAATGTAATCAGAAAAGGTGATTGCTCTTGTTAGTCTTCCAGAGCCCATCTGATAAGTATGATTTGAATACGCTTTTGGCTCCTAACACAAGATAGAGATACACCTAGGTTTGTCACAATCAAGCTTATATCTCAGTCAGCTTGGGCTGGCCTTTGATACAAGTTCTAAGTCATACTTGGTGTTTTTTTCAGGATTTCTAGTGAATGTTTTTCCTCTAAAAATTGGACAGTAAATACAGATTTCACAGATAATTTATTTTTACACAGCTAGAAGGATATTAAACTGATTAGAGACTGATTTCAATTGTTCATTGCATTTTCCTGTCTCAGGGTAGGAGAGATCTGATGCCTTTCTCTACTGCAAATTAAGCTAACCCATGAATATTCATAATTATTTCCATAAAAGAATGGCCGTTCCTAAAAATATAACAAGCTACCAGTGAACTGTGTTCATATCTGAACTGAAAATCAAGTTCAAAATGTGCTTTCCAGAGCATTGGAAAAAAAGACAGACAAAAGTTTTGAAACAGATCAGCTTGGTCTAAAATTCCTCCTGTACAAAGAACACACTTCACTTAAATGTTGGTAAGAGATCAAACAATGGATATTAGCAGAGGAAGGTGGTGGTATGTTTCAGCAGTGGCAACAACAATGTGAAAAACAAGCCATTTTCCAGACTTCCATGCAGATTTTCATGGTCACAGCATGCAGACTATTGCTCATTACTGGTGAAAATGGTGGCGACTATGTTGAAAAAATAATTTTTGGAGCTGAGAATTTGCTCACTATTGTGATCTTTGTAACTGTTGTAGTTTCCATGGAAATAAATAGGATGCATTACTTTTGGAGCGACATGCATAAATGATGAGTTTCTAATCTTTTTCCAGTAGAGACATGTGGAAGAATTCTTGTTGAGGTCCTTTTTCTATTTTCATCAGTTAATATTATTTTATATTCAACTAAAACATTTGCATACAATCCCAGGTACACTTTTCCCAACCATCTTCTTCATCAGAATGTCTGTTTGAAAATTCAGAACAAAATTACATGTAAGACTCTTGGGCATTTAGACACATAAAGTAAAAACAAAACTAGAAATAAATACTGATATGTTAGAATGCTGATTGGCTTTCCTCTTGGACTGAATCCTTCCTTAACAGACATGATTGAAATCTCATGAATGATAACATCTTCGTGAAAGAAGTCACTGATGTTTTTATTGTAGTAATGATCTGTTATTAATTCAGCAAGTAATGGAACCTGACAACATATAAATGTTTACAAAATATACACATAGATTGTTACAAAATCAATTCCCTTTAAACCAAAACATTTGGAGTTATGAAAAGCTTGGGAAGCAAAATATGTTTCCCATTATTGGCATATGCTTCATTCTAAAAGGAGATTAAAAAAAAAATGATTACAGCTAATGGCTGCACTCATAATACAGAGTGTGAAATTTTGTGAAAACAGTTTTTCAGAGTTTCATGGCATAAAACCTTTTCTTTCTAATTCTACAGCCCACTAAAAACTCCACTGAAGATGCTGGATGTTTCTAACTGCTCATTGAACCATGCTGATATGATCTATTTAGCCAATAGTATCCATTCTTACCATTTGGAAACACTGGACCTCAGCGGGCACAATATTCCCGAACTTTATCCATCAGCATTCTTTAAGCTTCTTAGCCATTCCTCTCCAGTGCTTAGGAGTCTTGTCTTGGAGGACTGTAACATCCAAGACACTCATGTCAACATGTTGATCGTAGCATTAAGCCCTTGTCAGAAACTGCAGGAGTTTAAGTTTCTTGGAAATCCACTGTCATCCCAAGCACTTAAACACCTTTTCACATTTCTCTGCGAGTTGCCAGTGCTGAAAATTGTGGAGTTTCCAGTTCCAAAGGACTGCTACCCTATTGACATCACCTACCCAATTGACGATGCCAGTCTCTGCAGATTTGATCATCAAAAATATGACAGTATAGCAGAGGAGCTTAACTTCATTTTACTACAAGCAAATCGGGAGGATGTGAAAGCTTCAACTCCGCTCTTTGGCAGTTATGATGCAGCCGTTCAGGAGACAAATGATGAACTGGGAGCTTATTTGATCAAGTCCTTCAAAGAGACTTTAGAAAAGTTAACTACTTCTCTTAGCAAAATGAGTTAAATGTGTAACATGTTTTCAATGTTCGCCTGACAATCAGAAGGTAGTTCATTCTTTTCTGGAACAGTGTTCTTCATTGATCAGTCTTCAGTTTTCTTTAGTTTCTGGGCTGAATTTATGTTGTTTTAATAGCTCATGGTCATCAGAGGTTTTTTAACTATCCTACTGCATAATATTTATGTAAATACAGCTTGTTCTCGAAAGAGGGGAAAACCCTCAATGGTTTAGTATTTTACACTAAAAGCATTTTGTTTCTTAGTAAAACAAGGCATCTGAAATTAGCTACTTTCTTCTACAGTTTTCTCCAGACTTGGGAATGAGGCTTGCAACTAAACAGAAAAGACAAGGAAGTCTTTCCCCAGGTCCAGCAGGATCCCTCAGTGACTGTATATTCTCGTACTGAGGGCCCCAGGCCTGGACGCAGCGCTGCAGATGGGGCCTCACAAGAGCCGAGCAGAGGGGGACGATCACCTCCCTCTCCCTGCTGGCCGCCCCTTTTTCATGCAGCCCAGAACACAGCTGGCCTTCCGGGCTGCAGGCGCACACTGCTGCCTCATGGCCAGCTTCTCGTCCACCAGGACCCCAAGTCCTTCTCCACCTGGCAAATCGAATGACTGACTGATAGCAGAGGATTCCCCTTCACCTCGCTCCAGCAATACAAAGTAAATCTGGCAAAATGTGTTTTACAAAGTTCTGGCACAGTTCTGCACAGTTGCGCTTGTGATATCAACAGGCAAGCACCTCAAGATGCTCCCTTTGTGGAATTTGTGGTTTTGGCCATTAGAATATACCTGGCTACTCTCAGCTGTTTTTCAAAGATAGCCTAGGAGAACGGTAGTAATACAAAAATGAGTCGTGTGGAAAAAAATGAATCAAAAAGACAGTTTAGAATTGTGGAAAAGGGGTAGGGGAGGCTGCTAAATAAGTACATAACTTACATTCTTCTTTTTAATATATTTGATCCATTGAATGTATGATGGGAAGACTGCAATGAATGGACTTGAACCATTTGTGTTTACATAGTGCTAAAAAAAACCTAAAGGAAATCCAAGTTGCCAAGCCAAACATTCATGACATAGAAAAAAGAAAAAAGTCTAGTTTATATTTGCACAAAGTTCCAGATCAGCCCTTTTTCTTGCCTCCCTTTGACCTTTTGTATGAGGACTGACAGCTGACCTAGGCAACTGACTACTAATCTTAACATTTTCCTCCCTCTGATCTTGCTGTTCTTTCTATCCTGGTCTAGACTCAAGTTTTCTCAGCCAAACGTAGATGGTTTGAATTTTGTGAGACCGAAGATCTGCATCTTTGGTGTGAGAAGTAGCATATTTTGTTGCTCAGAGAGATTATTCCCTTTAGAATAGATGTAAACCTACAGGTAGTAATTTCTGCATACTGGCAGCAGGCTAGCTAAAATACTGTGTCTGAAAGTGAAGACTGTTTTAGAAGCATACTGTGCTCCAACAACCTGGCCCTGCCTATTTCAATGCACACAAAATAGTTTGTTCATAGATTACTTCTTATTTAGGAGTATTTATATGCCTTATGAGTACTGCAGCTTTCTTACTGCTTTCTTCTTGCCAAAAAACAATCCTGACCCACACTTTTGTTTACTTATTTATCAGAAACTTCTCCCCATTTTCCATTTTCAATAATACGCACGCTGTGCTGTCAATTTATGTCTGTCTGGGCCAAAAGGATGTGGAGACACTAAAAAGTTTTAGTGCCCATTCCACACTGAGGATTAGTAGTTGTTAAGTCTTTTTCAAATATTCCCTTTTAGAATGAACAATGGGGGACACAGCATTAAAGAAGCAATGCACATGCATCACTACATGCAGAGTGGTTACGAATGACTGACATGTGGTGGAGCACATGGATCCATGTGTCTTGTATCTTGGATCCTGTTTTTGTGAAGCCATTTGCTCTGCAGCATCATTTTCAAGGCTTTGTGAGTTTCTACATGGGCTGTTCCAAAAATAATGTCTCCTATCTTATTATACTGGTCCACGACATCAGAGGTGGATGTTCATGGTAATGGCAGTAGAGGTCAAACCTTTCCACAAAGATTCCATTATATTTCATTGCAATGCTACAGATGACAACAGAGGAGCAGTTTAACAAAATTATGACTGATACAGAAGTGCATATGAAGATAAGAATTGTAACTTAGTTCCTTCATGTGGAAAAAAATTGCAGTTGTTTACACTCATTCATTGACACTTGCTGAATATTTATGTAAACCAAACTGTGGACGTTAATACAATAAAGCAGTGGGTGATGTGTTTCAGCAGTGGCATCAAGGACATGACAGACAAGCCATGTTCCAGATGGCAATGCACAACTGTCACTCCATGAAATGAAGTGTGTCTCAATCAGCTAAACCATGCAAATAGGTGGATTATGACCAGGAAACTGTATATGGAGCTGAATATTGGCTTCAATGCATTAGAAATGATGGCGGCAACACTGGGATGTTGCAAAGTTTGCACCAGGTTGTCCCATGAACACTCACATAGGGAAAGAAAGAACACCATATGCAAATTTGTCAGGACCTATTGAACCAGTTACAGACTATTGAGAATTAGCTCAATCAAGTAGTACTATGCTGCTCTCTGTATCAATTGTAGTTTCCATGGAAATAAATAGGAGGCATTTTTTTCAGAGCAGTGACATGAAATGCATTCTGATAGGACCGAAGCAAAATTTTTATTGTTTACAGTTACGTGTTAAAGTTGTAGTCTATGAAGTGTAGTATTAACTAAAATACCTGCTTTGGTAGTGTATAAACCAAAAGGCAGAACTTCAACAACCGTGAGACCCTGCTAGTCTGATTTCCACCGTTATGGAATGGAGTCAGTTTTGGCTTTGTTTTGTTTGCTGTTTGTTTTGGTTTGGTTGTTTTTTTAAATTTTGTTTTTTTAAATTTTGTTTGTCCCTTTACAGCCAATTTTTTTCCAAATTTTGAAAAGCTTCTACTTTCGCTTTGATAACAGTTGCTTCTTTGCAAAAATCCCATCTGTAGCTCTCAGGCATTTAACTTTCATTTCTTCAGTTTCTTCCTTAATTATGGTTATTAGTGATGCTTTTAAATACAAACCAAGACGTACATTTTCTTGCTGACCAGGCTTACTGTAACAAGAACGTGTGCTCTCTCCCAGAAGGATTCCTGTGTATCTCCTGTTCAAGAACTGCTATTTATATTCTGGGCCTGGTCTTTATTCCTCTTGCCATGTGTGTGGGACTTCGCATTTTGTTGTTACAGTAGAAGCTCCAGTGCAACAGCTACCTAAGTATTAAAGGTTATCCTGTGCAGGAGTAGACAGGTATCAGTTTAGTCCATCTCCTCCCAAAGGACAATCTTTCTATGTTGCACCAACCTGGAGCCTTGTAGTCGATATTGCTAGCTATGGATATTTTAAATTATGGAACGGGACTCAAAATGCTATGAGATTTTTAAAATAAATTTGTTTTATTGTTGTTTTACTTCCATGCTGTTAATTATAGGTTTATATGGTAAGCAATTCTCATATTTAGAATTATTATTGAGCACAAAGTTCAATAAAGATAAAGGATCAACTCCTTTTGCTGTTTTTGCAAAAGATGAAATTCTTATGTTTGCGAATTTTGAGCTGTCTTAGGCAGTAAAATAATGCAGTATAGGACAAAAATGTGTACAGTTTCACAATACTGTGATACTAATGCTCCATTTATGCAGCATTTATACTAAATAAAATAAGATTTCTAAAGCTGTGGTCACTCAACAGTTCCAAATGTTTGTAAATACTAAGCATTATGAAATGAGGTATGTGGAGATTTATTTTGACAAAATCAGTGGAGAATGTTATAAAGATCCTTCCCCTTTGTGCAGAATTTTGTTTTCAGAAGCCCTTCATGGCAAAACAGCCACACGCCATGAAGAATAGTTTCCATTATTGGTGAGATGGTTGGCAATTCCTTGGTAGCAAAGAAATTTTCCCTTATGAATTAATATAATGCTGGGACAGGGACAGAGTACAGCTGCTGTAAGAAACATAAGCTGCCTATGTGTGTTCTGATTTCAAGTGTGACTGGGCAAGGGGATCTTTCTCCCCTTTGGGGGAAAAGAAAAGGAAAACAACACAGTCAAGATAAGGAGAGAGAACAAATTTACTACAGATGGTAGAAGAATGTAAGATAATAATAAGAAAGATAGTTACTATTAATGACTCAAACAGGAGAGAGAGGAAGGCTACAGCTGTGCTGCTCACTGCACTGCTGAAATCTGGAAGTGTCTCACCCCCATCACCTAGAATTGGGGATCATGTGGAGGCTCCTTAGGAACGTAGTACATCTCAGTGTAGCTTCTTCTTGGACAGTCAGAACTTACGTGAGGCTGCTAAAAAATCAAGAAGCACTGCTCTGCAGTGCACTGTGCCTCTGCACACAACAGCCTGTGGCAAGATGTCATGACATGGAATATTGACATAACCAGGACAGCGTGTGTAGGGAAACCATGTATAGCATAGAGGATTTTGAAACAGAATGGGAAAATGGAAGAAATGTTGTCTTTTAGGAATGAACAACAGGTCTGAAAGATTTTCACTGTTTCAGCAATGAAGCTGAAGCAATTTTTTCTTCTGAGCATCCTTGCTGCCTCTTTTTGAAAGGTTATGTTGCAATCATCACCATCTTCCTTACGGGAATCAAGATCAAATAAAAGTGAAAGATGGAAAAGAAGGTAAAGGTGGCAATTAGCAAAATAAGTTATTAAATAATTGATGACAAACTCTGAAGTAATGGATAGACACATAGGCTATGGTGCCGTATCAGCCATGCAAAGTATTACTGTCTTCTGTAATCCCAAAGACTCATATTGGCTTTTTTAAATTTACCTGCCTTTACAGTTTCAGCTGTGCACATTTCTCTTTAGTGCAACCACTTTCAGAAATGGCATGCTGCGTGAGAAAAGCTATTCATCTTCCAATTCTTTGGAGGAGTTTGGGAGCAAAGCCAACCCCCTT